AGCCACCCAGGTGCCCCAACTTTGGGTTTAAGTGAGGTGTTGGGAAATTACTTCAGAGCACCGGGGTCCTCTGCATGGAGGACCTGGCTCCTTCCCCTCACCTGTTGTTGGGGGAGCTTGGTCTGGGTGCAGTCCATGAAATCTCAGGGACAAGCTCAGCATAGAAGCCAGCAGGAGGAAGGGAGGCTGTCTGTGGGCTAGGCCTTTAAAACCACAAGGTCCCTGGGAAGGAGTCCTAATTAAGCCACAGTCCACTCCAGACCTGATTGTCTGGGATGGGTTGTGCCCGCTGAGGGGCTGATGGGACTCCAAGGCTGAGAGAGAGAGGAGGGCAGATGGAGGTTTGCAACAGGCATTCTCTTGGCACGTTTGCTTGAGAAGGCCAAGGGTCATCTTGGATGTTACCTTTAGCAACGTTTCAGAACTGGAAGCCTCCCAACCAAGCTTTTTTTTTTTTTTTTTTTTAAATTAATGTCTAGTGCTAGAGCTCAGCCATGTCCCTGTTTTTAAACTATGTACAAATTCATCTAGAAATATTCTGAGAATATTTGTTTTCACTTTTTCTTCAACATTCAGATTTCTAGTGTAGATAAGAGGGTATGAGGTAGAGGGAAATTCTAGAAAGAGAATCTATAAATCCTTGACTCGGGAGTCTTGCCAGTGCTCTCACTGGGCCTGGTGACAGAGGCGTGGCTGGTTCAGAGATCAAGAGACAGAAGTGATGGTGGGCAGGCCTCAGAGTTGAGGAGCTTGCTCAGAAGCATCGAGGGCCCCGAGAGAAGAGAGTGAGGATCTTGTTAACTTTACAAGTTTGGGAGGTAGAACTTACAAAACCCCTCAGTACCTCTTCCAGTGATTCCGAACATTCTAAGGTCTCTGTTCCTCTAATGTGAGAGGTCAGTGGCATTTGAAAATTAAAGAGTATCTTGGCACATTCAGTTCTGTGAATCGAAGCCATATAGGGGCTTTCATACAGTGGGGGAAGGCAAGAGAGTTAGGAGGCTTGTCCTGACTCTTTTCAGAGAAGCCCTTGCAGGAGAGAGAGAAGAACCAAAGCGTTAGCTAGAAGATCTAAATGCCATTGCGTCCTCGCTGAGAATCATTGCTGAGCAGGAGAGGAGGCATTTCCCTGCGACGCCTCCACACGTCAGGCCTCTCTGTCTCCCAGCGACATGATTTCTTTCTGTGAACTCAAATGAATCAATTCTTCAGTATCAGGTCTAGGCTCCCCCATCCCAATAGTAAGTAACTATTTGCCTCTGTGTTTTCTTCTTTTCTTCAGGTTTCAGTTTTTACATTTAAATCTTCAGTTCATTTTGGCTGGAGGTAGGAATCTAACTTATTTCTTCCTTCCAGGTAGTTATGAGCAAGTTGGCCCAACATCACTTGTTGAATAAGCCAGCCTTTTCCCCGCGGACTTGATTGCCCACCTCCATCCTGTTTTCAAACAGCCAGCACTGTCTGGTGATACACCGGCTAGACCTCAGCCACTCTGGATTTGGGCTTCTGTACTCCTGACAGATTCCCGTCTCAGCCTTGTGCTCCGTGCTCCCTGGTCCCCCTGCGGGGGGTGCCAAGCTCTGTTTCAGCAATAGACCGTGCGGTTGTTGAAGTGCTTTGTTTTATTTTGCTTCCATTTGATAAAAACGAATGGAGGAGGGAGAAAACCAGGGTGTTGGGCCTTGCCATAAAAAACCCGGTCTTATAAATAGAATAAAAAATAGAAGTCATTTGGTCTCAAAAAAGCCTTTCTCCTCAACCAGATGCTAATTGGACATAATATGAAGGAGAAAACCTGCATTAAAGAACACGGACACAGTTGTAGAAATTAATTACCTAAGATTATCTGAGTAGGAGAGGGGTCCTGGTCTGAAATGGTGCCTAAGGTATCATAAAGACAATTAAAAGCCTCTCCAAGCCACGCCGGGCTGAGGACATACCTGCCTTGGTGCTCTTGGATTTGACCTCTGTGTGCAGCCTGTCCCAGAGTGAACCTGTGGGTGAACCTCGCCCTAACGTGTAAAAACAAAACTAGAAACAATACAAAGGAGAAAACATAAAAACTCCCCTTGGCTGTTTCTCAGCCCAGTCCTGCCAGCCAGCAACCATCTGTCTCTCTTAGTCCCCACGCATAGGCCACCACCGCTTGAGCCCCAGAAACCTCCTTAAACGTCCTTTCTCTTCGGTTGGTGGCACGGCCACGCCAGGCCAGGGGCCTCTGTGGGGGCTGCCTGCACCACGCAGTAGCCCTGAATCAGTCTCAGCACGTTCCCTCTTCTGTCCAGCCCTTTCTGCACATGGTAGCCACGGTGACCTTCTCGAAAGTCTGATCATGTGGGCCTCCCTCTGGTTACAACCCTGCAGTGACACCCTACTGACCGTGTGGTGGCCACCATCTTCATCTTGCTGGACGCTGCCTCACACCGGCCTGCCTGTCCTGCCCTGTATTGCCCCTTCCCACCCCGGCTGTGTCTGGAATGCCTTCCCCTCCCCAGAGTTCGCTGCCCCTTCCTAGATTGCCTTTCCTGCTCTCGCAGGCCCGGTCCTGGCCCAGAACTGCGCTCTCACAACACCGTGGGCCGCGGGCCTCCTGCCTCCTTGGCACTCACCACGGCCAAGGGTCGTACATTTGTGTGTTTACGTGGTTAGCGTCTGCCCCCCTCACAGGTCGGTGAGCCCCACATCCATTTTCACTCATCTTCGTGTTCCTAGTGACTGGCACAAGGGAGGTTCTCAATAAATACTTGTTGAATGTTGTTCTTGTTCGCCCTGTTGGCAAGCTAATATGACAAACAAGATTTCATCAAGATTTCTATTTTAAGATTCGATGTATTGGTCCAAAATATTCCTATTTTGTATTTTCACTTCTAGATTTGATGTGTCCATGATATTAATAAAATACTCTTTTAGTAGGGTATTGTCCCTTGCTGTTAGAATGGTCTTTTCATTTGTCTCACGTGGGCTCTAAATCTCTAGAATTGCATGGGCTTCAAATCTTAGGAAGTGACAGAATCTGTCAGTGTATATTTTCTATTTCATTATATTCCTATAGCATTGCATACATAGATGGCACTATGACCAAATATTTATTATGTAGTATTTGAATTTGAAAAGCATGTTACTCAATTTACAGTTTTGGATGGAAAGGAAAAAATTGTCTGTAACACTACCTGCCACTCAAAGTTAGCCACTGTTCTGATTTTTAATATATTAACCTGCCTGTCTTTTTATATGGATTTTAATACTACCATGATCACAATGTACATAAAATTTAGTGTCCTGTTTTTCCCCCTAAATAATCTTAATGTTGATTGATCATTATACTGTGACATGACATATGAACCTAATTTATCTAGTTCAGGTCAATAAGCATCTCTGAAGAACCACACTGTGGTAATAAGCACCATTCTGTGCACCTAAGTCAAAAAATTCATTCAAGGGACGCCTGGGTGGCTCAGTTGGTTAAGCAGCTGCCTTCGGCTCAGGTCATGATCCCAGCGTCCTGGGATCGAGCTCCACATCGGGCTCCTTGCTCATCAGGGAGCCTGCTTCTCCCTCTGCCTCTGCCTGCCATTCTGTCTGCCTGTGCTTGGCTCTCTCTCCCTCTCTCTCTCTCTGACAAATAAATAAATAAAATCTTTAAAAAAAAAAAATTCATTCAAAAAAACACAGATTTTGTACCTCGGCTGTATAATAATAGAATACCACAGTTCCAAAGCTTTTAGTGACATTTTTACTTCTTGGATTTACTAATTTTGTGACATTGCCTTTTTATCTTAGAGGACTTTTCTCCATGTTTAATAGCCCCTTTTTTCATATATTCAAAAAATTGGTTAGGGCTTCCCGCATGCCAGGCACTATTCAATGTCCTGGAGATGCAGCGATGAAACCAAATAAAGTACCCACACCCTCCTGAAAGGAGACAGATAAGAATGAATGAATGAACGAATGCAGTGATAAGTAAAACAGCCAAAAAGTTGGGTGAGAGGGGTGGATAATGGCATGGGGGGGAGGGGCTGCTCTTTCACGAGGTCAGGGAAGGCCTCTCTGATAGTGACATTTGAGCAGAGACCTAAATAGCATGAGTAGCTACACAGCTGTCAGGGAGAGCTTTTCTGGCATAGGGATCAGCAGGTGCAAAGGCCCATAGGTGAGAGCGTTTGGTGATTTCAAGGAAAAAGAAGGAGCCTGTGAAGGAAGGGGCAATCGGAGCTGAGGACAGTGGGCTGGGGCGGGGCCTTCAGGAGACCGTAGAGGGCCTTCCAAGCTGTGGGGTGAGGCCTCTGGCCTTTCCTCTGAGTGAGGGATGGGTAGTTGGGGAATAGTAAGATGATCTGAATCGTGTTTCAGTAGGATCATTTCATTCTGCAGCTTTCTGTCTTCCTCCTGGGGGCCTTCGGTTTCCACCTTTGTCAGCCTCTGACAAAGTATACTTTATACTAGATGTAAACAAAGTATAGTCGCTGTATACTAGAGCCTGTAAGCCTTCTTTCAGACACATGCACGGTGTGCTCGTAGAGTGCTCATTCTTGACTGTAAATGTTCAGGCAGGTCATTAGCCACACCCTGTGGTGTCACAGAATAATATTTGGTCATCACTGGTCCAAGAATCAGGCACATTCCACATATCTGAAAAACTCTATAACTGAGTTTTTCATTTCTTTATCTTTTACCCATTTGAAGCAATTTTTTCTTTCTGAAAATAATGACCAAATATGTTTTTCAGATTGCAAAAAGTCATATCCTGTTAAGGCTTATTGTCAACCTGTAATTCTCAAGCATACTTCACCCTCTGATATTCTAGAAACCACCTTTTCTCGTGGGGGGGTGGGGGGAGACTTTAACCTAATTATAATCTTCCTTGAGTTGCTTTATGGTTAGATCTGTCAAATGCCAAAGTTAGAGCCCATTAGTAGGCTTAAAACACTTATTTCTGATGGAACGAACTGTTACAGGTTGCTTAGCGTAATTGATTTCCTTTGTTTTCTTTTCTGTTATAGGAGGAGACATCACAGCTTTCCCAGATTGGGAGGAAAAATATGGAATGTGTTTTACCACTGACTGAACACAACCAAATGAACTGTACTGACAGTAGTTTGAAAACCAGCAGTTAGCAGTTTGTTCAGGCTCTAACATTGTCCAGCACTTTCCAGAGCAAACTCACTGTTTACAAGAACTCTCGGCCTTACGACGTTTATAACCTCAAGCTTTGTTTATTTAAAATATTTCTGCAAAAGAAAAGTACCCGGAGCCCACTTTCCAAAATGGCCATGGATGAGTATTTGTGGATGGTCATTTTGGGTTTTATCATAGCTTTTATCTTGGCGTTTTCTGTTGGTGCAAACGATGTTGCCAATTCATTTGGTACTGCTGTGGGCTCTGGCGTGGTGACCTTGAGACAAGCATGCATTTTGGCTTCAATATTTGAAACCACTGGCTCAGTGTTACTGGGAGCCAAAGTGGGAGAGACCATTCGAAAAGGTATCATTGATGTGAACCTATACAACGAGACAGTAGAAACACTAATGGCCGGGGAAGTTAGTGCGATGGTCGGTAAGTAGCCTTATTCTTTACATCAATGGGAAATGCACCCGATGGCCTACTTCTGTTCAAATATTTCTGTCATGTCCATAAGTGTGATTTTTGTTTTAACTTCAAAACTGGTTTGATGTTTCATATATACTACATCTTATTTTTGCTTTCTGCATTTTAACTTGATTTTTTTTTAATGTTCAGATATCAAATTTTTAGCAAACATTGTTGTTAAAATAGATTTGGCTAAAAGTACTTTTTATAAAGTAACAGACAAAGATGTTTGTAGACTAGCTGTCATTTTAAAGTATTTTGAAAACCCTTAAAGAAATAACAAGTCTCGGTGAATGTGTTCGTAAGGTTGACTTGTGAGATATCCTTGACAGTTGATGCCTATTTTTCCATAGATTATTCATCAGTTAGGCAGCAATGTTTTGAAAACATGGATGCCAAAAAACCAATATTTATTAAGTTTTGTGTCCTCAGTTTGAGGTTTTGAGCCTGACTGAATCAATGTCAAGTGCTTTTGTTTCAGGAAGTTCTAGTCTTCTACCTTATTTTTAATCCCTTTGCTGGGATTTTTGATTTTTGTTTTGATTTTTGATTTTCTGATTCTACCTCTAGGAGATCCATTTGGGATGATGTTTGTTTTGTTTTCTGGCCAAACAACCATTTGTGTGTCACCTGTTTACAGTACAACCTTATATTGGTAGTTTCGAGTTGTCTAGATGAGGGGGAAGTGGTAGAGGGCAGTGAAACATGGTAGCAAGCTGACTGACCAGCCAGTCGGTGTGATTTCTCCACTGGCCAGGCTGACCATCAGCTGCAAGCACCATGGGGGTGCTGCCCTGTCTGCCCTCGCTACCTCCGGAAAGAAGATTCAGGCAGGAATGCTTAAGTGCAGCCCCCAGGACTCTTGCTCTGCTTGTCTCTGGGTAGCAATGACGTCACAGCAGACAGCTGATCTGTATGGGTAATTTGGTTAGGGAGAAGATGATTAGAGAAGAGCCCTACCACCTTCTGCTTTCAACAGGACATACCCTTTTGTAGGAAGGGTTCTGCAGTAGGAGGTAAGGTGGCTGGTGTACCAAGAACACAGCTATAGTCCACAGGCCCCTAGTTCTTGACTCTCTCTAGCGTTTCTGAAGCACCCAGAATGTGGAAATTATTTACCAAATATAAGATGGCCCACCATCTTTTTGCAATAGCAGGTTAGTTTGAGAAATTGTTGAGGTGTTTGATCCATATCCAATTCCTATGTACTAAGGTATTAAATACCAAGCACACGACACTGGTAATACATGCTAAGGAGTTCTGTATCTCAACATTTTGTGTTTTAATGATGTAAGGTTTATGATTGCTTTCATGACAACAGCTGTTTTAATGACTGGATTTTATTTACCTTCACTGGTTATCTGTTTCTCATCATAGCCAGATAAAAGTGAAATTTCCCTTAGAAAAATGACAGTTCTTTTTAAAAGTCATGCTTGGTTGTCATGATAGGAATTAAGACATATTCATAGTGAGCTAAAATTAAGATTTCTCTAGTCAGGATGATATGGGCAAGAAATGTTGAAAGTAGGGGAAAAATAAAAGCATTTATAAAATTAAGTTTTAACAGTAGCTTCTTCTGTCATTGGATAAAACTTCTGAGGAATAGTTGTATTTATATTTTTTTAAGATTTTTTTATCAGAGAGTGAGTGAGAGAGAACACACAAGCAGGGGGACTGTAGGCAGAGGGAGAGGGAGAAGCAGACTCCCCACTGAGCAGGGAGCCTGATGCAGGACTCGATCCCAGGACTCTGGGATCATGACCTGAGCAGTTGGCAGATGCTTAACCGACTGAGCCACCCGGGCACCCTGGCATGGTTGTGTTGTTTATAAAGAGATTTGTTGGTGAGGCCACACAGAGGCCCCGGCTTAGACTAGAACCTCATGAGCCTCAGAGCTTCATGTCACTGCTCACTTTTCATGTGGGCAGTATGACTTGTCCAGTTTTTCAGTTCTCCCACCCTGGCCTTTGGCTCTTCACTGGAAGAATGAAGAATACTTACCTCAACTAGAATTTAGGTTAACCAAAGCAATTTGAGGTTTTGCTTGAATAACTTGATGTTGTTTGCTTTGGTTTCTTTCTTGTAATCTTCCTTTTTTTCTTCCTTTCTCTTTTGGTGTATGGGTAGATGAATCTCAAAGCCTATTTTGTTGGGAATTTATGTGAATTACTAGATTTTTAGAATTGGGTTCCTTGCAAATGAGAGCTTTGTTAATTTAAGGCGGTGGTATAATTATTATTGGCCAAAACCAAAGCTGATTCTTTTCCAATGCCTGAATTGTCCCTTTCTCCTTCTTCTAAATTCAATATCCATTTCTTCTCTCTTTATCTCCCCCTGTCATATTCTATTCTTTCTTTTTTCTTTAGAAATGTCTCCCCAAGCCCTTGGGTCTCTGTGCTTTCTGATAGAGTGGTGGTAGCATTGGGTTGGTTGGGTGGAAGAGATTATTTTTGCCAGCTAAACTTCCAGAATTAAGCCCCTTTGTACACTAAGCTCAGCCCTAAAGCAATAGTCGGTCCACTTAGTATGAAACCACCAATGGAATGGTTCCAAAAATCTACTGAGAATTCAGAACTCACCATCTTCTCATGGAAATACCTGTAATAGCATGAACAAGCGGTCTTCTTGAACCAAAGTAAGAAGTGCCCCATCCCTTTTCCTGTGCCGAGCACACTCACACTGCCTGTCTGCTTCCAGCATGACCGGGCACCTTTGCGCGGCCACCTCCCCACATTCCCCCAACTTTCCCTAGATTTTGTCTTATACCTTTATTCCGCACTTAATCCCTTCCTTTTTATAAGATATCATCATCTCAAGTTAAAATATCTCTGTCTTTTTTCCCACTGTTTTTCTTAACACTAGTGTAATCCCATTGGCCTTCGGAAATTCCCAAGGCTTAGGAGGCCTCGCGCTCTCACTTTGCCAGGCGCCCTGCAAATCCCTGCCTCTGCCTTGCCCTCCTTTCCGCTGCCCCTCCCTTCCCGCCCCCTGGCCCCCTTCCTGACTAGGCAGGCCTGTCCTCCCTGACCTTTTCTTACAAACCCTGCTGCTCTAGGACCTATGTTATAAAGTCAGCCAGAGAAGGGATAGCAGCTTTCAGAAAAGAAAATCTCATGGTCTGAATTCATCTGGGTGAGTTTATACTCCTCTCTGAACGTCACCAGATTATTTTCAGTTTGTAAGAATAGAAATCATAAAGTTTCTTTCTCAAGTTATAGCTCTGTGCCATGTAACGTGCTCTGAACACTGGCTCTATTTTTAACACAAACTAGTCAGTCACTCAGAAGCTCAGGGCTTAGATGGGAAGGCTTAAGGAATTGTCCACAGGGAGGCCTGGCTGCCGCCACGGAGCCTATCACCAGTTTGGCAACATGGGGCCGGCCCCTCCTCCTCCCAGCACATGCTTCAGGGGTAGCCACGGACAGGGTCGAGCCCAGTTTGGCTCACAGGTGGGCATGCCCAGCTTTATGGAGCAGTGGTCAGCATTGCTGCCCAAACTAGGGCCTGTACAGCCAGTAATGATCCTTTTTAAGTCAGATCTTTTTGTAGAAAATGCCAGGGATCCGCTTAAAAGTGCTGCTGCCAAGCAACCAGATTTCCAGAATTAACATTTGGGATTAATAACGTGCCCTGCTTATCAGCCAAGCCCTTTGTTCCCTTACAGTTCTATATGAGCTTTTCAACAACTGTTTCTGAAAGTGATCTCGCCCAGCTGATGCTTTTAATATGCTGCAAAATTTGATCTGCTTATGAAAATATCTGGAGTGACCTGTAGCCTAGAAAAACATTAAGCCTGGAAAAGGAGGTGAAATTGAGGTAAAAGGACACAAAGCCAAAGCTAAGGATCCTCTTAACTGGTAAGAATTAGAAGACTCGAGAAAGTAGACCAAGAAAATGCCTGGCATTCTGGTCAGGGGCTGAGAGCAGATGCCCACCTGTGGGTTAAATGTCTTAGTGACTTCTCATGCAAAAGAGACAAATACAAAAAAGCAACGTGGAATTACATGCTCTCTTTTTTCATTGAGGTGTCACTGACGTGTAACGCTAGATTAGTTTCAGGTGCACAGTGTAATGATCCGCTGTTTGCATATTACAGTCTCTCTTACAGACTAATCAATGTGACCTCGCCAGAGTCTAGCCCTCCTTGTTATGTGACCATAGGGTTAACTGCAGTGACATCTTTTCTAGTATGCAGCCTTTCCTACTTCTCTTGTTCACTAGAGTCTGTAATCTCTTGCTCAGTCTTGGCCACACTTCACATTAGAACAAGTTCATCGTCAACACCTGTACCTAACTGTGGAAAAGGCAGTTAATAACTGGCATCGAGAGACTTTTCTGGAAATATTTTCAATAAATCATCATTATCCCTTCAGTGTTGAAGAGTGTCCCTTTGACTAAAGTGAGTGATTTTTGTCAGGACTTTAGCACTCTGTAAAGAAAGAATCCATTAGGGGCGCCTGGGTGGCTCAGTGGGTTAAGCCGCTGCCTTCGGCTCAGGTCATGATCTCAGAGTCCTGGGATCGAGCCCCGCATCGGGCTCTCTGCTCAGCGGGGAGCCTGCTTCCTCCTCTCTCTCTGTCTGCCTCTCTGCCTACTTGTGATCTCTCTGTCAAATAAATAAATAAAATCTTTAAAAAAAAAAATCAACCCTAGGGAGATACTGTTATGGAGAACTGTAATTTGGATTTCTTCCTTTTGTGGCTGTTTGAGGTACTGTATTCTATATTTGACTTTTTTTTTTTTAAATATCTCAACCTACAGGGTCAGCAGTTTGGCAGTTGATTGCGTCCTTCCTGAGACTCCCCATCTCGGGCACTCATTGCATTGTCGGTTCTACCATAGGATTCTCACTTGTCGCGATTGGCACACAAGGTGTACAGTGGATGGAGCTCGTCAAGATTGGTAATTGCCATTTTCTTTTACCTTTCAGAAGCACAGTTTACATTCTCTAGAGTAAGTCTTATTGAAAGTCACCATTATCATCTATTTTTCCCTTCAAATGTTAAGGTTTATTTCTTTTCTCTTTTTTTCAAATGTTAAGTTTTAGAAGATAAGACCTATGTGGGTAATACATTTCCCCCTAAGATTTCTGCTAACGGAGACTGTGAACTTTTATGTGTTAAATTGTTTTCTAATGCCACTCTTTTCAGATGTCATCTGGCTCTGAAAATCAGTATCTCTCTGTTGTTCCCAGACAAAAAAGAAATGTATGTGATTGAAATGAGCCTGTAGTCAGAAAAACGAGGCCCTCGTGAAGGAAATACCTTCCGTGTCCAGGAGGCAGGGTTCGTGGTGGTGGGGAAGCCAGGGACCGAGGCCGGGCTTACTTAGCTCACGGCATTCAGCAGGTCTCCCTGTCTGCCCCCACAGAAGAGACACTCTAGTGCTCTTTCTGGGTTGTAGGCTGCCCAGCAGGGACGGGTATGACAGGTCTGATGGTCGGCCTCCTGGCTCTGCCTTTTAGCAAGAGGGAAGAAATCCATTCAGCCCCACAAGTACAAACCCACCTGTTCTGAACAATATTCTCCTGCCCCATCTCCACCCACTGGGTTACTCACCCGTATCAGAATCACAGTGGCCTCAAGAGCTCTAGGTCAAACAGATCCCTGACCTCCCAAGCCAGGAACACAGATGGCTGGGAAAATCACCTTAGATCCCAGGAGGCTTCTAGAACAATGTCTCTCAACTCTGGCTATACTTGAGAATTAGCTGGAGAAGCAGTTAAAAAATATCAATGCCCAGAACCCCATTCCAAACCTTTTAAATCTAAATTCTGGGGGTGGAATCTGAGCCTAACTGGTGTTTGAGAACTCCCCAGATGTTTCCAGTGTGCAGCCAAGATGGGAACTGCTGAGCCAAGGTGCCAGGATGGCAGTACCAGGCTGACCTAGGAAAATGAAATGGAAGGTGGCTCTCCTTTTAAATAACTTTACTGTTGAGCAAGGACCAGGTCTCCATCTGTGGATGGGTAAGAAGAACAGACAGAAGGGGCTCAGAGGGAATCACAGGAGACTGTTTTCCGAGGCCAGGCTCAGGGATCCCTTACTTGACCGTGTGCTGAGAGAGTGCTCACGGACGCGGGACTTTGTGTGTGAGGATAGCTGTGCACGTGTGAAGGTCAGCCCTGCCAGGGAAGTAGGGTCAGTTGGGTTCTGAGTTAAGGTGAATAATTCCAGCAATATTTATTAATGTTGGTACTTTGTGTTGGTTATCATTCTATTATATAAATATGACTTATGTAGAATTTTAACATTCATTAGATTTTTTTTTTAATTATTCAGTTGCTTCTTGGTTTATATCTCCACTGTTGTCTGGTTTCATGTCTGGCGTGCTATTTGTACTGATCAGAATTTTCATCCTAAAGAAGGTAAGTGAGGCTGTTATGTTTTTATTAAGTTTTAGAACTAATTTGGTTCTATTTAATAGAAATGAATAGTTAAGGAGTCAGAGGAATGATTGTATTTTTACTTTGTTAAGGCACGGCACCCTGCAGTTAGAATTAGACTTTATTTTAAAGTAGGCCAAAAGGGGCGGCTGGCTGGCTCAGTCCATAGAGCATGTCACTCTTGATCTCAGGGTTGTGGTTTCAAGCCCCACATTGGGTATAAAGATTACTTAAAAATAAAATCTTTAACAAAAAATAAAGTCGGCAGAATAAGCCAAGGTAGAGTACTAAGGGGCTCCCCCAGAAAGCAGCATTGTAAATAGTGTTTCGTGTCCTGTGATTTAGTTCATTAGTCAGTGCTCCCTGGCATTGCACACAGACCTCAGAAAAGGAAGAGTAATTCTTTCCTGAATGTTAAATAGAACAGAGAGTGATAGTGTGAAGATTTTGAAGTAGACTACCACTACACACACCTGGAAAATTTCTTTTCCCAAATATAAAGTGTTTTCTGTATTTTAACAGAGAAAAAGCAAGCTTGAGACACTGACTTTTTCTTCTCCCCGAGGAAAGGATGAAAAGAAGGAAATATACTTATTGGGGGTAGATTTTATCAAGAATGAAAGGAAATTGAAATTAGAACTTACTAAGATCCCTATTCTGGAGGAAAAAACTTGCTTGTATTTTTTTGACCATCAAGGGGTTGTTGCAATATTTTATACACCCTGAAGCAGGCCCCGGGTCCCTGTGTCGCAGCGCGCACTGAGCACGTGTGGGGCAGGTCTTCCCTCAAGTGTATCCTCACTTGAAGGCGCCGCTATTTCCCATTGGCACTGCCTGGCAGTCTACCGGAGGACTCCCTTCTCTTGGATCCGTACGAAGCTACATTCCTTCTCTTGGGCTCCCTCCATACTAATATTTATTTACATCTTGGAAGGTGCCACCCTCTCTTGCCTGCTAGACTTCACTTTTCCGACTTCCTCTGCCTGGAACCCATCCTTGCCTGGCAAACTCCTGCTGCTCCCCAGCCATCATGGGCCACTTCCTTGAAAACCTTTCTTCTCCCACCCAGTTCTGGTTGCGTCCCTCCCTCTCATGCTTCTACGATGCTGTTTTTTCTTACCATTGCACTGTTGTGCTGTGTGGTGGTGTACGACTTACGTGCTGGCCTGCTTCTCATCCGACTGTAAGATCTGTGAAAGTAGAACCATGACTGTCTCATTCACTTTGGTGTTCCAGTGCCCAGCACTATGCTTGGGAAGACACTGGTATTTAAGAGGGAACGACGGATGCTTAGATAAGTGGCAGATGATGAATAGATGGATGGAAGGAAGGAAAGAAAGGAGAGAGGGAAAGAAGGAGGGAGGGAGAGAGCCAGGAGGGAGGAGAGAAGACAGGTCTGGAGACAATTGGCATTTGAGTTTTAAGAATAAGTTATTTGAGAAAAAATAAAGTGATTCAATTAAAAAGACCATAAACGCAACACTTGTACACCTTCCCAGGTTTCCGGGTGGGTGTCTTTGTTCAGTACCTCTCGTCCTGAGAGAACGTTTTGGAAACCAGGGGCAGTGGGCATTTGAGCACCCGAGCATTTAATTTGTAGCGGGACCTGGGTTCTTGTCACATGGTACACGACAGGTTGGAAGAGCACTGTACCTCATCCCTGCTCCTGCCCTGGGTCCTGGCTTCTTCCTGTTTGCTGGTCTGGCTATGAGTCTCATGCAGTTGAATCACTTGCGACACCCGCTCTTACTGATCCTTATACCCCATTACCATTCAACTCAAGCCTCTTGACAAGTGCTGATGGCTACTTGAGACATTCCAGAATAGGTTCTTAATGGGTTGTACTGTTCTGCAGACACACTTGATTTCCATACATGTTTGCATTTGGTAGTAGGAATCTTAGTCTCTACTTCTCCTTACTCCCGTAGCCCACAGTAGTTCTTAGATCTCATTTTCTTTTTATCATGGGTAGGTGGCAGATTCATATAAACACCAGTGTCTTATGCGGTTATTAGAAATTAGACGTTGTTTGAATGATTTAAGTGACATCTAACATGCCAGTGCTGTATTGAAGAGTTCCCAGTCTATGGTTTTTTATTTTTTTAAAGAATTTATCTATTTATTTATTTGTCAGAGAGAGACAGAAGGTACAAGCAGGGGGAGCAGCAGGTAGAGGGAGAAGCAGACTCCCCACTGAGCAGGGAGCCCGACTTGGGACTTGATCCCAGGACCCTGGTATCATGACCTGAGCCTAAGGCAGATGCTTAACCAGCTGAGCCACCCAGGCACTCCAGTCCATATTTTTGCTTCAATATGTTCTGTAGATCTTCTTAAAACCCTCCATTTCAAATATTCTCTCAGATGTTATTTAGTGTGAAACATATGCAGTACTATTCTTGTTAAAGTATTAGATTTAGGGAATGTACCAGAAGGCTCAAGTTGTAAAAAAATGTTTTATTAGACAAAGAACCCCCAGTTCTTTTTAACTTTCCGTAGTTGAAGGTTAAATACTATGCTTTATGAAAAGATCTTAAAAAATCACAGCCCATGGTAATATATTTGCCTTATACATTTTAATAGAGCTAAAATGTATTGTGTAATAGGGTGAAGTAAAATCTCCCAGTAATGCAGTGGTGTTTAAGTCACTTGGCTCTCTGAGTGCCTCCTCCTAGGGCTGAGCCTCAAGATATTGGTTGCAAGCAGATTTTTAGGGCCAAACCTGAACTTCGCTGGAGGAGTGAGCGCCACCGGTTTTGAAGCAGATGCTGAGCTCTGGGCTTCGGTCCCCAAGGACTGGCTTAACCTCACAGCTCTGCTCTGTTTCTAAATCTGACATCAGCTCATGTGATTCTAGCGCTTCAGTGTGTCCTGGCCACAATAGTGCTCTTTGAAACAGTATTTGTGTAGGAGACACGGCCCGGGCTGATGTGCAACAGGTCACACGGCAGCGACATGGCCTGCCATTCTGGCCACACCACTGTTTGGAAGCCTTTCTCGTAACAGTGTTTTCTATCATTTTGCCTGTGTTGGCTCCAGAGGCTTCCTGAATCCTGACCTTCCACTTTATCTCATTATCATACAGGAGGACCCTGTTCCCAATGGCCTGCGGGCACTCCCAGTGTTCTATGCAGCTACAATAGCAATAAATGTGTTTTCCATCATGTACACGGGAGCACCAGGTAAGAATTCCTCAGAAGCTTAAATTCAGCAGGCAAGGTGTGTATCGTTAGACTTCACAGTCTCATTGGGCGCACTGTTGTTGGCTGACAGTAAAAAACCTCCTTCATGATCATTACGGAGGAGGAAAAAGAGTAGTAAATGCATGTCTTTGTTTTAAATACGCAAGAAGTATGTAAAGGACAAAGGCAACAAACAGATTTTCAAGTGAAAAAAATTTGAAGCCCTCCTTCTGCCTTTTGCGCTGCTGTGGAACCACCGTGGCCTTCATGTGCTGAGTCTCAGCACAGGGTCTAACACTGAGCACCTCCCCTGAGCCATGGAGGCGTTTGGGGGGTGGGGGGGAGCACACATGAATGGTAGCGGCCACACGTCGGTGACATGCAGAGGCAGCTCTGACGTGCGTGGCCTGTGTCACAAACGCCAAATTCCCTGGCATTTGTCTGACCAAAGAATCCAGTGAGTGGACGCTACCTCCCCACTCCCTGCTTTTTTAAGATGCTGAAATCAGTGGTGATTATTTTCAGAATTACTTCTTCCCATTCTGAAAGCTTTTGTTCTTATTAGGTTTTTAGGGGCTTTGGGGGGTGCAGGGTTAAAAGTTGTTTTCTTTTGCATTTTGGATGGCTAAAGAGAGACATACATGGCGTTCCGATTGGCAAACATTTCAGTATGGTGAGCATTCCAATGAAAATCATTCTGTACATGGTTTGGTAGAGAGGTTTCCTCCCACTGCTCTTTGTGGTGGCCTCCTACAGCGAGATCCTAAATATACCTGTTACTGTGGGGATATCTGGAGTCAGCAGATAGTTTGTGTTATTTTTCTTCTTGTGAATATTCTTTATGGTGTAAGATTCAGTTATCGGCCATATCTGACCAAAATCTCCTTCTTCCTGTTCAAAAAGATAAAATTTCCCCTAAGTAGCATGTCATAACAGTTAAGAAGTACCCTTTTCCAAAATGGGGGAATGTCCTTACAAATTCCTCAAACTCAGTGTCATCAAGGCCGTGTTTCTCAGATTTTATTTTATCAGACATATCTAATTATGTGTGTGTACTTCAGTACTGCACATAAGAAACTTTTTCTGAATGAATGTTAACATCACATAACTTTCTGATTTGGCCTCTCGGCAGCATTCAGAGTGTTAATCTTCAGGGTTTAAATACTCATGATCAGGACTTCCAGACTTTGGGTGGGAGCCCGGGGGTAGAGCATCACAGCTGCCTTAAGTTATATGGAAAGCACAAAGCCAAAGTGCATGGGGACGAGGAGAGCTGAGAGGGATGGAACCCCAGTCTCAGATATGAGCAGCCTGGTGGCCCTGGGCGTTTTGTAATTTATGGACTGGGAAGGGTGTGTGTCACAGACTGTCTTCTCAGTACATAAGAAAATTGGACGTGGGGAGAACATAGCTCTGCACCACAAAGTTAATCCTACCACCAAGTGTGACTGTCCCGAAGCGTTCACACGGTGCTCAGCCGGCCCTGAGCACCAGGAGGGGAAAGAGCCATCATGGAGCTGCGGCGTGCATCCCATCTCCTCGCTCCTTGGAACTCTTGTTCTTTTTTTTTTTTTTTTTTTTTTTTT